CTTCATATTTTAGAGTTTTGTCTTTGTTAGTCACAGATAACTCAGTGTCCTTTTATGCTAATCTTAAAACCGATTTGTATCATCTACTAGGTTATTTCTTGTAAGTGAAACTGTAATGCTAACCTCTAAAAATTAATATACGTAGCCAATTTTGAATGCCGGAAGTCTAAATTAAAATGACTTACATCTATAAACTTGATATTAAGACCCAAACTTAATGATACTGGAGTTAGACAATCTTAAGGTGCAGTATTAACAGACTTACAAACCAAGTATTGACCAAGTAAGTGCAAACAAAAAAAAGGTGAACAAAATGATACAAGACTGATTAATGTACAACCTAATAGCTTTAGCTAAGTTAATTAACATCAGTGTGAAGCCAAACTATTCATTTGATGAATATATAAGCTAATAATTTAACAACATACAATAGAACTTGATCAAGATTCAACAATTGTATATTAAGTTTACACTGTATTTCTTGACGTACATTCAATTATCCTTCTTGTTAATTTCGACATTAAAGAGAATGCTAATTTAAATTTAAAAATTCTAGACATGGGAATATATTTAACATATAATTAAAAAAAGACACATGATTATATTAATATAACATTTTGTACATATGAAAAAAATTTGTAAGAGTTAAAATATGTGATCATTTCAATTTCAATTGGTGTCTGAAAAAAAAACAACATACATTTTCTAAAAAAATTTACATTAACAATACAAAAAATAAGCAAACACGTTCTCACGTGCTACAAAGTTATCATAAAATTCATATTTGAAATCTTTCAGTTTTATCAATGATTAAATAGTTGTTTAAATCTCAAATACGGAGAAATCTAATCGTGTTTAAAAATGTTAACTTCGAGCAGTAGTTTTAGGCCTAATATACTTTTGAACACTACATTCTTTATTTAGTTCTTTAGAAAAGTGTACGATAGTGGAGTTGAAATTGTATTATACATTATTTTTATTCGTGAAAAACCCAAAGGGGCCACGTAAAGAATGAAGTGTTTAAAATATTTTAGGCCTAATACTAACGTCTTATGACAAGCGTAATTAACTATAATCAGTGTTAAACTGATACACAAAAAAAAACAACACAAATTAAGTACATAATTTAACATTAGAATATCAGATACCAGCAGAAATGTACGATTCATCAAAAATACAGAAAATCCTTTCATTGATAAAAAAGTCTAAATTTCTCTCTTGACATACGTAAAAAAACCTCTGTTCTTCTAAACTGACAAATATACAAATACTTTTGTTTCTAAACTGAAGAAAATAGTTATTACTTATTTAAATTGACTTTTAAAAATGTACTTTAAAGAATCTCTAAGATGCATACAAACACAATGTTCAATAGATATTGATCAATCAATTAAAGCTAATTTAGAACAGGTTCATTTTTATAAGACAGTTAAAATCATTGGATAAAGCATCAGACTCACAACTGGTATATTTCTATCTGCTGGAAGCTATAATGGCTTCTGTTCAGTAAAATGTAGCTTGTGCTATCTTCAAAGACTGCATAAAATGAGAGAACAAGTGATTATATTAAACAATAAATGTTAGTTATTAACTGCTATGTAGTTTAGTGGACCTAACCTAATTCATGTTACAAAAAACAACTAATGAATAAAAAATTAATATTAAGGTTTATCAAAGGCTGTTCAGTGAAGTATGGTAAACACCTGACAGAGGATTACATTGTTTAAATTTATTTTGTTGTTTTTCAGAACATTGATGGGATTTAGACATTTTGGAAATAAAATTTAAAAAAAATTACCTTTGCTCTCCAGATTGTAATAATTTTTTTTTATTTCAGCCAAATTTTTGCCATGTCTGATAGTACAAGAATTTGTACTACTAGCCCTGATGATGCCACATGGCAAAACTTTGGATGAAATAATTTATTATTATTATCTGGAGAGTAATGGTCATTTTTCTTCAACCTTCAATGCCAAAATTCTTTAAGTTTGATTATTAGAAAGTTAGTCGTGCATATGCTTTTTTATAAACAAATTTTAAATGCTACAAGCCAATCAATGTCTACTAAATATAATCTCTTTTTGTCTATGAAATTGGGTGCAGTTACTTTTACTTACAAACGTGTTGGAGGATGAGTCAAAGGATAACAGTACAGGAACTTTATATAAATTGGGTGTAGTTTTTTCACTTACAAACATGTTGGAGGATGAGTCAAAGGATAACAGTACAGGAACTTTATGAAATTGGGTGTAGTTTTTTCACTTACAAAAATGTTGGAGAATGAGTCAAAGGATAACTTACATTAGCAATGTTGACACCAGTAAGCTTTTCCACAGTTTCAGGAACCCTGTTTATAATATCCAGCACCTCACCAGTCAGTTTACTTGCACCAACATCTCCTCCATCTCCAGATACCATGACAACTCGTTTACACTGCGTAAGCGGTGTCGCAACTTCTGCAGCCACCTACAAAAAAAAAAACAGTTTTGTGTAATATTATTGTTACGTCAAGACATATTTAGATAAAGTGACTTATTCTTTTATTATCAGGAGTACTTATAAATTATACAGTCAATGAATTTTAGTGTGTCTAGATTTTAACTTTATTCATTATAATATATATTTCCTTTCAACAGGTTTACAAAAATACCTGAAACCATTTTGGACTAACATCAAAAAGTTTGTTTGTTTGTTTTGAATTACGCACAAAGCTACACGAGGGCTATCTGCGCCAGCCGTCCCTAATATAGCAGTGTAAGACTAGAGGGAAGGCAGCTAGTCATCACCACCCACAGCAAACTCTTGGGCTACTCTTTTACTAACGAATAGTGGGATTGACCGTCACATTATAACGCCCCCACGGCTGAAAGGGCGAGCATGTTTGGTGTGACGGGGATTCGAACCCGCGACCCTCAGATTGCGAGTCGAGCGCCCTAACTACCTGGCCATGCCGGGCAACGTCAAAAAGAGATACAACTTCTCTGAAATGTAATTTTTACCAACATCTGACCATTACAAGTATGATTAATCTTTTGAACTTAAACTGCTACAGTAATTAACAAGCTAAACATACCGTACATAAAGTATACAAATGTATAACAATTAGTCTTTCTATATCTACAACTTCACTCCAATTGAAAAATGTGAAAGCCATTTTGGGAAGCTTCTATTAACAGCCAAAACACTTTCCACTCTTAAAGACAGAGACATGCACAAATCGATTTACACTATAAATGTGTCTGTTTTGTTGAATTAAACACAAAGCTCCTTGTGGGTTATTTGTGCTAGTAATTCGGAAGTGATAGACTAGAGGGAAGGCAGCTGGTCAACACCACCCAACACCAACTCTTTACCAAGAAAAAGTGGGATTAACCGTAACACTATAATGCCCCCACAGCTTTAAGGGTGACTATGTTTGGTGACGGGGATTAGAACCTGCGAGTTCAGTGCTTAACCACGATTAGATTGTGTTAACTTTAATTTTAAAACAATAACAGAGAAAATATAAACACGCTGCAAGCTATAGGGATTAGAATTAATACTTAAAACTTCTGGTATATCTACCAAATAACAATCCATGTGATAATTACAGGTTTAATTAGTATTTTGTCTGAATCTTTCCAGGTACAGTTCTTGGAAAAGGCCAAAACTTAAAAATCATTTTGCTTTACTTTTGTTATCAGTTTGTCAATATTTAAAAACCTGTTTTTGGATAGTGATGTTTAGATTAGTTTCATGTTTGCTTACATTCTTTTTAAAAAAAAAACGTTATTTTTTAACATTTTGGTCAAGAAATTGAATTTGTCATGCATGAACAGAAGCAGAATTAAATGTAAAACACCTTACATATCAGTTGTGAAGTAAAAGTTAGTATTATCCTTACCTTAGGGTTAAAAACGCATGTATGAATCAAATATAAAACACTTTACGTACCAGTT